GTTAGTGCTTTAGAATTAGATTTTGCTAAAAAATTTCAGTGTGTTAGTGCTTTAGAATTAGGGGACCTAAATATTTGATTTAGTGTTTTAGGACTAGTTGAGCTAGTTTTTAGATTAGTGCTGCCCACCACTGCCTGTTCGTAATATTCACACAACATTCTCCCAGTTTTTAAATGCAATTTAGTCACAAAGTTTACTGCAGAGCCTGTCTGGTGACATTGGATTGAAAAAAAGAATCAATGCATGACCATGAGTTATTGTTTAGCCATTATCTCATGGTCACGCATTAATTTTTAAAAATCCAATGTCACCAGACAGGCTCTGCAGTATACTTTGTGACTAAATTGCATTTAAAAACTGGGAGAATGTTGTGAATTTTACGTATAGGCAGTGGTGGGCAGCACTAATCTAAAAACTAGCTCAACTAGCTCTAAAACACTAAATCAAATATTTAGGTCCCCTAATTCTAAAGCACTAACACACTGAAATTTTTTAGCAAAATCTAATTCTAAAGCACTAAAATAACCCAGTCAACCCATGAACACTCTTCAACAGACAACATGAGTCACATATTGTCATGTTGCTCTCTTACATCTTATCATTGACATTCCTCAGCTGTATTTGTGTTCATATATTGTCACCTGGTGGATCAGTGACACACATATGAACAAAATGTGTGACAGTTTTCACCCTCAGCTGTTAACATTAACAATGATCAATAACATTTATAGACCTCAGTTAGTGCTTCTAAATTCAGCCTATAAATTTAGCAAGTGCTAATCCACTAATAAATCTTAAAATTAGCAAAAGCCCTAAAGCACTAATCAGATAATTAGTTCCCCTATTAGTGCTTTAGGGGAACTGTTCCCACCACTGCGTACAGGTATGTATGTTTACATTCCATAAAATTCCAAGAGAATGTTTTTTTTAATTTTCCAGATTTTGGTGCCTTCAGTTAGTCCCCAACAGTCCCAGCTCAGTTAGGAAGAGGTTTAAGAAAAATCTTTTAAAAACATTATCTCATTCATTGTCATGTGGAGAAATATATGGTGCCCATTTGTTGACATTGAACAAAAACAAAAATTATGTCATGGCCACGTGTTATCACATGGCCATGAGAGAACATGGGCCTTTAGATAATGAAGTAGCGCCTCTCTTTCTGAGATACAGACATTGGAGTCAGATTTTGAATACTTTTGTTTTTTTTTTAACTTCCTGATGTATTTCATATCTGCATTAAAATAAAATGAAMGCTGTTCAAGCATGTCCATGTTAACATTTAACAGTTTCTGCATGGAAAATAATTATTTCATTTCCAGGAGGCATTATCCAATGTCACCGGATGGGCTCATACGAGACAACTTTTCCACAAACTTAACAAAGTTTATTTTTATTTTCTGTTTATTTGGGAGAATGTTGCACATATATAGTTACTCAGTATATGAATGTTTTACCAATTCAGGGATTCCAAGAAAAGAAAAATGTATTTTTTTCAGTCCTAGCCCAGTTAGAAACAGGTTTAAGGGAAAGCTAATAAAAATTTCATCTGATATGAGGAGAATGAAGTAAAGTTTCTAGAAATTGTGAATAAATTTAACATTTTTACTCTTAAAAAATGTAGACGAGAATAGCTCAATCATGTTTTTGAGTATATATATATATTTTTTTTTCGATGATTGACATTTTGATGAATCTTTTAAAGCCCATCCTTTAACTCTTGTCATTAATTACATCCGTAGAAACCTGCTGATTCTTGCTTGTCAGGTTTAACCGCTGGTCGTCTACAGGATCCTGCTGCCAATACACTGTAAGGAAAATAAAAACTCACTTTGTATACATAATATTAGGAAGTGACGAGAAAAAGATAACAGRAAGAAGCTAAAATGATCTCTGAATCTACAGTGGGCAAATTTAGTTTCAACGTTGCCAAACTTCACAAAATGTTGAACGTTTTTTTTTTTTTTTTTTGCAGCACCTCAGTTTGTGCTGGGAAACATTCTCCACTACCACCACACTAAATATGAGCATATTTATAAAAACAACTAAATTCAATTTATGAGGACTATTAGCTGCAGCAGCTATTTTGAATCAGATTAACTCCGGTGATTACAATATTTCTGAGACTTTCATTCAAAYTTTTTCTCTGGCAGTTCATGAGATATTTTGATAAGGCAGAATTAAAGGATTGTCTTCCTTTTAACACAGCTTATTTAATCAGCAAGATTTGTACAAAAGTTCAGGAACCATTGGTTTTGCTGTTCTGAAAACAAATTTAACATTAAAATTATTCAATTAATTTTACGCTAAATTATACAAAACACACTTGAAATTAACCATCAACCTAAACTAAAGTTTYTTTTCTTGTAAAATTAATAACTTTCCAGAGCATAAAAAAATAAAAAAATAAAAAAATATATTTGACACAATTAGAAACATTTTAATTCACTCAGTAAGAATTTATTTTATACAACATTTTCATCTGACAAATCAGCATAAATTAACCAGACATAAATTAAATCTGAGTAAATGTTGCTGGCTAACATGCTGAAACCATAACTGAGAAACAACTAAATGTATTTATATTTTTAAAACTCTGGTGCAGGTGGAACTGAACGCTTCAGAAAACCTTTACGCATCCTGACGTTGTTTTATAGACAAAACGATTTGGTTAGTTGTGTTATGGTTTAGTCTAACTCTGAATTGGAAGCCATAAAAATCATCAAGTCATTTCTAATCTGGACAGATTACAGTAGGGTAACAACAGGCAACTTTAAAATCTGCTGTTTTTATTGTTTTTATGAAGATTATAAAAAGATGTTATTAATGTGGCAATCAGCGTGACAGATTAAAGSAACATTTCTGCAGAAACAAGCCAATAAAAAAAAGAATGAACATGTTGCTCATTTTAACTCCAATCATCTGAGTCCAGATCTGCTGTGGAAATTATGAAATGACAAACTTTTGTTTCTTCTCTGTTGTGATGGGAAGCCTGGTGGTGTGGTGCAACCAGGCCAGTTTATGTACAGTCAGAACGTCTGTGGAGAGTTGCATCGTTTGTACACTACTGTCACCTCACAGCACCATTCCTCCACCCATGATCTCCATCCTCTGTAGATTACAAACAAACAAACAAACAAACAAACATGTTTAAAAAGATGTAAACTATCTCCTTCAGCCACTGCAGGATAAATATACAAAGAACAGACAGTACCATGAATTCTCATGTTTTTAACCATTAGTTTGTTCATGGAGTCTTAAAAAAGTACGTACCTTCAGTCAGAAATATCTTCTTTACTAAGTTAGCATTACAATGAAAATCCAACCTGCTGTTATAAAATTATACTAGGTCATTTTAATTTACTGAAAGCTTCCTTATAAATATTATGAGCCAGTTTACTACAAAGTTCTCCAAGTACACAGCAAAAACAGGAGTGTTAAAATTTCAGTGTTAAACTTTTGGGTGTTGATTTAACTCTCCCTAGTGTTATTTTAACACTTTCTGAATACACTCACACCCAGTGTTTGTGTTAATTCACAGTGTCGATTTCCTCAGTGTTGTCTCAACACTGGACAGTGTTAAATAAGCTCCACCCACAGTTAAGTCTTACGTAACACTTAACAGTGTTGTTATATAACACCATGCAGTGTTGAAAGCAGTATTGTGAAAAGCCCCGCCCTCTTCCACCTCATGTCAGACAGACCAGCATTTACCCAGCATTCCTTGCTGAGAAATTTTGCAGAAATGATGTGTTTGCATGTTTATGACCATTAAAGACATTCATGAGAGTAAAATTAGTTGTTCTGGTGAGTTTTATTGTTCGGTTTGATCAAGTTGTTCAACTTTAAGTTTATGTTTTTGGCCAAAA